ACAAGAGGCTTCCGATTGGCCGGCAGAATGCATAGATGATGAATCCAAGGATAGATATATAACGGAATATGAGGCCAGAGAGGGAATAAAACTCGACAAGGATAAAATTTAAAAAAATGTTGGATTGAGAGCAGTAGCAAAACTTTGTTTAAACTGTCTCTGGGGTAAATTTGGGGAAAGAGAAAATTTAACGAAAAAGGCAATTATTCGGACATATGAGGAGTTTGCTAACATAATGTTCAATCCTGAAATCGAAGTGACAGGGCTTGTCCCTGTCGATAACGACACTCTCTTCATGTCCTGGAAACATTTAAACGAAGCTGCGGAACTGTCTACCAAAGCCAACGTTGTTATTGCGGCTTATACAACAGCTCACGCACGTCTCAAATTATATTCTTATTTAGAAAAACAGCAAGAACGCGTTTTATATTATGATACAGACTCGGTTATTTACGTGAGCGATGGAACTAACGAGTTACCACTGGGGAATTGTCTCTGGCGGTCCAAAATTTTATACTTATCGCGTGAAGAAACCGGATGGAAACATCGCAGAAGTTAGTAAAATAAAAGGCGTTAGGCTAAATTACGACACGCGTGAACAGATTCATTACGACTCGATTCGTGCCCTCGTTGTCGATCAGGTAGAGCCTTACCAGATCAACTACAAGGGTATACGACGGACAATGTACCATGACGTCATCACGAAACCCGAGAGCAAGATTATCCGCGCGACGGGCCCAAAACGAAGGCTTGATAATGGCGCTGCAACCCTCTCCTACGGATATAAGACAAAACGACGCGCGCTTCAACCCGACGATTGAAAAACTAAAACGAATGAAAGATACTTTTGATTTTTTTAAGCTAGTGTATAGGGATTAGATTATGGATTAGAGTAATTTTTTGTAGAAGTAAACTAAATTTAAGTTTTAATACCAGAAGTAAGTTTTTTTCGTAGATATAAGCTACATGTAAGTTTTCAATCTCATTTTTTTAGATTTAAGCGAATTTTATATTCTTTTAGATGATAATTAGATGTAAGTTTTTTAAAGGAAGTTTTTTGTAAATGTAAATTTTTCTTTTCAAAATAAAAGAGAAAATGTCAACTTTTTTTGTTTTTTTTTAATCCTTATGCTAAACGGAAGTAAATTTTTCAAGGTTTGTTTTCCAAATAAAGAAAAAGAAGCATATATCGTGTTTTTATTCAAAAAACCTAACTCTACAAATACATTTCTTAAAATTGAAAACTCAATGCAAATGAATTACAATTGTTTT